GTGGATGGGGATGTAAATTGATTAGGGCTGGGTCTCAGAGAGTCGCCAGGGTGGAGGAAACAGCAATGGCAGCGACTCTGCGGCCCCTCGCCTCTCCGGGACACGGGGGCTTCAGTCCCCCAGTGCCAGCGAGCAGCCGCACAATAGAGCCTCCCTCGCTTTCTGACCACTGCAAGGCTGTGCCGCCTCTCCCCATAGGGTCCGGTGGCTCATGATCCCGCTCGAACCAGCTCAGTGGATTCGAGAGTTTGTAAAAGCGGAGGTGTTTCCTCTTATGCCTCTGGCACAGCCTGGATGGGGTTGTAAATTGAGTAGGGTGGGGTCTCAGGGAACCGCCAGGGTGGGGCAAACAGCAATGGCGGTGTTTCCGCGGCTCCTCGCCTCTCTGGGACACCGGGACTTCGTGTCCCCCAGTGCCCGTGAGCAGCCGCGCGCCAGAGCCTCTCCACTCTCCGACCGCTGCAGGTCTGTGCCGTCTCTCCCCGTGGAGCCTGGCGCCTCGGAGACCCGCCCCGAGCCAGCCCAGAGGATTCGAGGGTTCGTAACCGCTTCCGAATGAAAAAAACCCGTGCATCCAGTTGCAGCCTGCCTGGAGTGTGACTGTGTACCTCTGTCTTTGGCGCCTCTGTAGCTCCTACTCAGTCTCACTGTGCTTTCTTTCCTTCCAGGTGTAGAGCTTCCACTGGGCCAACTTCCCCATGGTTCCGAATGGTGGTTGTTTGTCTTATAGTTGGTAGTGTCGATTTTGTGGGAGGCAGCACGCACAGGTCTACTCCCTATGCCGCCATCTCTCTTTATTTTTCCTTAAGAGTGGTTCTGTCCATTAGAAATATAATGTAAACCACTCAAGATTTTTATCTGTGGCTGCATTTTTAAAAAGTAAAAAAAAACATAGGTGAAATTTAATTTCACCAACTAAACCCTTTCTATAAAAAAATATTTTTACATGTAATTAATTTTAAACAATTGTTAATGAGATATTTTATGTTCTTGTTTTTTTACCAAGTCTTTGAAATTTGGTGTATATTTTACTTACATCACATCTCAGTTTAGACGAGGCATATTTTAGGTGCTCAGTGGCCACATGGGGCTTGTTGTTACTGTACTGAACAGGACGCATTAGATGGATTAGGGCAGTGGTTCTCAACCTTCCTAAGGCCGCGACCCTTTAATACAGTTCCTCATGTTGTGGTGACCCCCAATTTCATTGTTACAAATTGAACATAATTAAAGCACAGTGATTAATCACAAAAACAATATGTAATTATATATGTGTTTTCCAGTGGTCTTAGGCGACCCCTGTGAAAGGGTTGTTCTGCGGGGAGCCGGTCCATCCTTGCTGTTTC